CACTAACCGTCGTGAGCCCAGCAGAAATATAACCTCCAAAAACCCGAAGCACCAACTTCTGATAGACAGGAGAACGATGGTTCAGTACGGGTAAAAAAGCATGGGTTAACAAGTCCCGTGGGATGGAAATTATTACGAAAAGTGAATTGCATGATAAAGTGAGAAGCGTTTTGGTGGATTCACCATAGACATACGTAGAACAGTGGAGATGTTCTCGTATTAAGCGTATAAATCCATAAATATATTGGTTGGTTGGTTGGTAAGACACCGTTTGATTGCACTTTGTAACCCCTGGCTAACAAATCATAAAATGAAATGTAAATGAGACAATGCATCATCAACTTGTTTTTTAAGTATCGCCAGATTGGGAGCAGAGACGACATAATTAGGGAGGGCGTTCCAAGGCTGGCATACGCGGAGAGGAAAGAAATTTCTACGGCATTCAAGCCAACTATACTGAATTATCAGTTTCAGAGGGTGACCTCTTAGGTTAGGGTTGTGGTTCAATTCCAGCAGCGGACGGCAAATGTGGTTTGGGTTCTTCAGAATCTGGTAAACCATTATGAGATCCCCCCGGCAAAAGCCGATATCGACTGCTGTAGATTCTTAGAGATTCAGTCTAAGCTGATAGGGCAGATGAAAGAGGCCCCTGACATTCTTGGTTGCCCTTCGTTGAGGAGTCTCAAGAGCGACGAGATCCTGTTTCTGCCACCGCTGCCAAGCCTGAATATCATATTCTACTTGCGGTCGCACGTAGGAGTTAAGCATTTGGGGGAGGATTGAAGGTTCGAACCGACATAAAGCTCTGCGAAGAAGGCCGAAGTGTTGATTGCCGGTTCTCGTCGTCTTCTCTAAATATTTGAACGCCCGAGATCTTCCTGTACCAATACACCCTGGTCACGCTCCTGAGAGGCTTTCTCCAATGTGTGGTCTCCACGCTTGTAAGCGCTCACCGGCTGGTGACGCAGATGTATCACCTTGCACTTAGCTATGTTCAATTGTAGCTTGTTCCTCTTTGACCATTCATAAATGCAAAACAGGTCATATTGGAGCAGGTCGTGAGCTTCATTGTTCCTAATCGCCCGCCATATCTTGACGTCATCGGGGAAAAGCAGGAAATTCGAGGAGCCAACTCTTGCCAGGTCGTTGATAAACACCAGGAATAAGCGCGCTCCCAGCACTGAGCATTGTGGAACATCACATTCTACCTCGATTTGATAAGAGACTGATCCCCTAACACCTATATGAAGCTTCCGTTGGTGAAGAAAGTTGACAATCCAACCAAGTACAGGATATCCGATTCCGTAACTCTGTAGCTGGTGAAGTAGGATGCGGTGATCCAGGCGGTCGAAAGCTTTTGAGAAGTCCAGATAGATGACGTCAACTCCGACCCCATCATCATCATCATTCATCATTATACACATCAGCTATAGGTGGGAAAACACCCCCGCTATTGTGCCGCAATACATGAAAGAAATACATACATAAATACAAATAATACAGTACACAAAGGAAAAATAGATACAACAGTTGCATGCCAGCTGAGCTACCAGCAAAGGATAGGCATCGTTCCGGTAAGCTTCCAGCCAGCTACTAGGCAAAAAGAAATTTTTATTATTATTATTATGTTTTACCCTAGGAAATGAGATCGTAGATGGAGGGGGAGACTAAAAGGGATGGGAAGGGACAGAGAAACTCACAGCAGGAACGCCACTGAGGTCGGCTCCTTGCCATCTCAGCAAGTGTATCCAGCCAAAAGTGTTCATCGTCTTTTGGACCCCAACCAGGGAGCCGTGAAGCTCCAACCGAGGCTAGCTCCGAAGTGATGGACTTCATTCCTCTGGACCAAGTCATCGCTTGGCCACCTCTCCTCTTCTTCCACCCACATCCCCGGTGAGCAAACAACGCACGTCGAGGGAGTCGGTGGGCTGGCATACGCAACACGTGACCGAGCCACCGGAGCCTGGTGCGGGAAATAACGGTGCTGAGCGGTTCAGATCCTTTTCCTGGGCCATAAACAATGCGTCGAACACGCTCGTTACTCACGCGGTGTTCCCACCATATGTGAGCCAAACTGCGAAGGCACCGATGGTCGAACGTAACTAGCCTCTTCATGTCCGCCGATCTTAGGGGCCAGGTTTCGCAACCGTACAGTAAGGTCGAACGTACTGCTGCATTGTACACTCTACCCTTCAGGGCGAGAGTAATGTCGCGCCGCCGCCATAGGTGGCGAAGGTAAGCAAAAGCACTTCGAGCTTTCGCTATACGGTTCATGATCTCGTCTTCGATTTCAAGGGCGCTGATATAATTTCCTAGGTAGTTGAACTTCCGAACGACTTCTAGCTGATCCCCACCAAGGGTCAGCGCAGGAGGCGATCCCTGCCAATCTTGGAAGAACGCTTTGCACTTCCATGGTGCAAAACAAAGCCCGAAGCAGCTGGCAGCCAGTGCTAATCTGTCCAGCGCGGCTTGGCACGTCTGGGAGCTGTCACAGATGAGGGCAATGTCGTCTGCATACTCCAAGTCAAGAAGTCGTTCTCCTGGGAGTAGCTCCACACCTTCCAAGTCATGTCCTGTAAATACAAACTCAATGACTTCGTCAATAGCGAAGTTGAAGAGGAAAGGTAACAGCGGGCATCCTTGTCTCACACCGCTGGAGATATTAAAGGGTGGCGACAGCTTGCCGTAAGCCCTCACTCTGCCCGTCCAACTAACTAGTGCAATCGGTAGGTTGGTGGTGTATCACCGGTGTTGACGGAAGTCATACTGCTCCGGTGCCAAGATGTTGCATTTTTCCAGGTAGTCCATTAAAGCTTCAGCGACGACCGCTTCTATCACCTACGCCAGCACAGGAAGGAGAGTCACTGGGCGATAGTTTGCAGGATCTGAACGGCTACCGCCTTCAAAAATAAGGGTGATATTGCCAGACTGCCACATAGTGGGGACATGTTATTCATCAAAGCACCTTTGGAAGAACTGTGACAGTGGTTCAGCTAGCTGGTTGGCCACAGCCTTCAGTGCCTTCGGGCGGTAGTTGTCTGCTCCCGGAGAACTGTGCTCACGCAGTGAGAGTAACTTCCTTGGCACAATTGATGGGTTGAAAATTAAATTTGTAAACAATGGAGTCGATAATGTGCATGACATTGTTGGACAGGTAGAGGCTGCGAGTTCGAAAATTGTGGCGTATTGTAGCCGCAGGGCACTAGCTGCTTCTTCGGCGCTATGAACTCTACCGCCTGTCGTAAAAATTGCAGGGATTCCATGCTTCACTTTATGAAGATTATTGACATGCCTATACAGCAGTTTGTTGTTTACCATGAATTTTGTGGCTAGGCACTGTTGACAAGTTACCTTGTCCTCACGGACAAGTGCAGTGCAATGGTTGCGATTGGTCAGGAAATTGCCCCAAGTCCCTGAGTCGGGTTTAACCTTGTGTGCACGCCATGCTGCATCCCTTATCGCCAAGCATTTTCGAGTCCTGCTCCTTAGAATTTAATGCATTTTTGAGGGACGAAGTGGCTTGGTCTCAGATGCTCTGTTGACGATGTCGCTGAGTCTATTAACAAACTCTGTCCAAACGTTGTCAAGGGGACTGTTGTTTGAGAATTCCCAAGCAGCTGCGTCAGTGAGTTCTTTCAATACGTCGTAGCGTGTGATTGTATGAGTTAGTTCCGAGTGTTCAGATGGATACGCTGCATAACACACAGTTGAACGTTATTACTACAAGGTCACTGAGACCAAATGGACTACCCATCAACAAGTTATCAACCATGAGCTCTTCATTCGTGAGCACAAGGTCAAATATGGACGGTTTTTTGCTGTCCTAAATCTACTGGGCGTGGTGACATGATTGTACGAAGGAGTGTTAGCGATCAGCTCATGCAAGTCTGCTTTGAACTGCTCACTGGGTGATGCCGAAACCTCCAGATCGTGTAGATTGAAGTCCCCGGAGATGCATTTAAGCGTGCCAACCGAGTGCTAAAACACAAGTTGAGTGGATGCAATGCTTGAATTTGTATAACCGATACACACCAACTGCTCTATTCAATTCGACAACACTTCGGATACCCAGTGAGGGGCTCGTGCAATGATCGGATCACCCAGTGCTGATGATTCGCAATCAAAGAACCCCACAGTATATCAGTTAGCCGTGGTAGATCGAAGTCTGCTCTCTCAGTGTGCAACTAGGATCAGCGCTATCCAAAAGGTTCAGTACAACAGCTATGCAGCCTCTATGAAGAGCTCAGTTGGGGACGCTTAGTAACAGTGCTTAGGAACTGAGTAACAGCCGTGCATTTAGTCATTTTCGGAGAAATGAATTATCTTAGCAAAATGCAGGAAGCGTGGATGTGAAGCTGGGAATACAAAATTCATACTCCACATGTTTCACCATACTCATAAAATCACGGGGTTAGAACAAACAACTGCTAATATGCACATTTCAAACCAATGAGGCTCAAACGACTGTTGATGAGCTAGTTAAAGAACCGGAAGTTGAACTTTAGTGTGGTCGATGATGGCGTGATGATGATGCGGTTTCGGGTGGCGGAGCGAACATCAGCCCATTGGGTTCAGTTCTAGCCAAGCTTTCGGTCACATTTCCGAAACCCACATTGAACAAACAGCCGGCCGGCCGCATATCACGATTATGTACACAAATTGACGGGCGCGCACAGCGGCATCACGTGATATGGAAAGGATACAGAGTCCTTAGTACTCCATGCTCATGAGACATTAAAATGCACCAGATACTTAGGTTTCACACTGGTTTGTTGTACGATGTTCAGTATTCCTCTCAAAATGTCTAAATGTTTTGACAAACAACCGACCATTTCGACCGTACAAACACATTTGTATATCAGTACATGAACTACGAAGTGGGTTGAGTATCGAACTGTGCCAGCCAAACACTGAATTTAGACTCGGAAATATGGCCGCAACACAAGCTCCAGATTAACACGTGCGCCGCATAAAGCACCCTGTTTTCCCATTCGTTTCAGCAAGTCCATCTCAGTCAATCCTTGGAGTTTCACGTGAGTCATTTGTGACTTGTTATGTTCTATTTTACTGGTGTTAATTCAAGATGATTGATCACACGTAAACCTTCAGTATGTAAACAGAATGCATATGAAGAGATGGCCGTTATTACTCCATTGCTCAACGGATCAAGGCATTGAAGGCAGCATGTTGAGTGGCGGGTAGTACGGCATTCCTTCGATCAGCCTCGCAATGAAACAAAGCGCTGCCCCCCATTATAGTCATCAGGCAAGCAAGACGTGATGTAGATGTAGAAGGATTCACAGACATTTGAATTCCGATAAGTAAATTGGTGGCTAGAAGAGTGGAGACTAAGCGTATGCACGTTCGACTGAAAAATGCCTTCGGAGTTGTCCTTGACCAGGTATAATAGCTCCAGCTGATCAGTGTCAAACCTGCAGAGCGACTATCAATTGGACAAATATAAACCAGAACGGACTACACCTGAGTTGAGTATCTGGGTAGTCTCAAGTATTATCAAGTCTAGCCGGAGTCAACTCATCACCAATGAAATAACTACATATTAAGTTTGCTTGCAAATTATGTGTTTGCTCTGAGGCAAGCACCGATTTAACCTGCTTAGCACTCAGTATCGCCAGCTTCAGACATACGATGACCGAATTACTTGCGTCGTTCGCTACTCTAGAGATAAGCAAAAACCAAATACGAAGCTATTTATCATTCCTTCTCATCTCTCTTTACTCAAGTGGCCTTGGTAGCCGTGTCTCCAAATTAATCCATTGCGATTCTGAAGGTCACGCTGGAACTCGTTAAAACACTGTCATTGTGACGAGGAGATGCAAAATCAATAGACGCTAAGTGGGGTGGTCAGGGTAGTAGACAAACTAACTCGAAGTACTTGTCACAAAGTAGGGTAATCTAGTGCTTCAATAAAGTAGCTAATGCGTTATACTTTTCAGCAAACACAATAAAAACAACCGACTTTCATTGCATCCCCTTGGGTCCAGTAAAATCATTTGGTACAATGAACAATGAGTAAGAATTTAACATGGGTAAAAAAAAGCATGTGCTTGAAAGTCCCGTAGGATGGTTGGAGTGAAAAAAGTAGATCAAAAGATAAGTGATTCGTCAGTTTAGACGTCTACCGATTTAACAGCACTGCTGTATAACGGTAGTTTAAAATGAGAATTGAACGTGCGCACACAAAACAATATGGGGAGCGGTTATAGTTCGTGTTATCCGTGAGAAAAAATAAAACTGGAAATGACAATGCTCACTTCTGTGCCGCTTCTTTGGACCAATGGGATATGTAAATCTAGTTGCTACGTTAGCGTCGTTTGATAAATGATGTGCAAGAAGTGAAAATAAACACGTTGATTGGTAGTGCTAGGTTGACGCCCGTATATAGAGGGTTATGTGATGTACTGTAAATGCATGAGTGTATCATTGAGACGTCTATTGAGTACCGTTAGTGTGAGGAAAGGAAAAACGTAAGTGGGAAGGGCTTTCCACTGTTGGCATACACGAAAGGAAAAGAAATTATGGCGGCATTCCAATGCGGCTATCCTTCGTGGCCAGCTTTAACTGGTGACCCCTCAGAGTAGTATTGTAATTCAGCTTTAAAATATGACGACAAGTGTGGTTTGGATTTCTTAGAATCAAATTAGTCATTAGCAAACCACTAGACAGGAGTCGATATTGTCCACTGTAGACTCCAAGGGTTTTCAGCTTCAGTTGCTAATGGAAACAAATCCTTTACGTTCTTGATCGCACTTCGTTGTGGTAGTTCAAGTAGTAGTAGAGTACCAGATTGTGCAGTGCCATAATGCGTATCAGAGATAATTTTCGAAAAATGTCAAAAACACAGTGTGCCTCGAGAAGGTGGAAAGTGTACTATAGCGTGGACCGATCCTGTACAAGATTGCTCAGATAGTTAGAATGGAAGACTAGACAGTAGTTGGTATTAGGGAGCAGAGGAAATCAAACAGCGCGCATCTAAAGGAAAACAAGTGGTGAGTGTAACATGAACCGTCAGTCGGCCGGTGGCCGAGTGATGTGCACGCCTGACTTGCAATCATAAGGTCATCGGCTCGAATCCGCGTAGGGAAAGGAGTTCTCGCGGTATACTCAACCCACGCGCGACTGGTGGTCGCGCAGCAGCGAAGCGCCGTTACGCCGTACAGCTGACACATTAATTAGTATTAATACCACGAAGAGCGAGAAAGGGGAACCAGTTTGAGCCCTAAACAGAAATCAAGAGAACAGCGAAATCGAGCGAAAGTAGCAGATGTCAAGATCCTCCAGTGCACAAATCTATAACTATCCCGGCCTGAAAATCGCATGGGTGTTCTTGAATAGGCGACGAATGTGATGTAGGTCACTGGCACCTCCATTATCGTATGTAGGACACCGATTCTGGGCTGGAATATGCTGGTGGACGACGACATAGAGCCGACTGGGCCTCGATGATTAACCTAAGCAGCTTGAACCTGTGTTGATGAAAAATAGGTTTAAGCTACATCTCCTCGAAGTACCTTTTATGAAAGTGATAAAGTGAAAAAGATTGTGTCCATAGGGATTCAAGTGGGTAGAGGTTAGCGTGAAACGAAGAGGTGGAGAATGACAATGATACCATAACTAGCCTGACTGGTGTTCCGTCTCATAAGGAGTAGTACGACGGGAAAATTCGTGCGAGAGAAGCAGTTGCTAAAAATGATGCGCCACTGTTATGTTCGGGGCTAAGTGGGGCTTTTCGAGGGGTTCCATATTGTAGCGATTGTCTTGTAGAACAAATCAACACACCAAGATGGATAAGAACAGGTAAGAACTGGGGTATTTGAGAATCAGTAATCTTTCCGGATCTACATGGTTGAAGAAACGTACACCAAATCGTCATCGTTTAACGTAGTTTTCCCTTTTAATAATATTCATCACAAACAAACGTGTTTCCAGACTGATGGTTGTCAAGTTAGGTTCGAGACTTTGAGCCTCAGTCCCGGTCGGAAATCTGCCCGGTCCTCTTAAGATTGAGATCTAAAATCCCCGATAAGGTAATGGAAGAGAATGGAGGCCTTGAAATGTGTCAATACTTGCATCAAACTGACATTCAGGTTGCAACTGTTGTTCTTAGATTTGACCGGAACAGCTTACAAACGCTGTATCGTACATAGCTACTGTGCTGTGGAAGTCATGAGCGTTGCACGCAAGGTTGATAACCTGCTTAGTAGTGGTCGTTACGCCATATACCAGTTAGTTTGCAAGTTCAGATGGTCTGCCTCCGTCTGCATAGCTCAGTGGCATAAGCTGCTGGTTAATTGCCGTAACCTGCTAGCGATCATGGGCTCGGTTCCATGCAGGAGACTGAGGGAATGCGCACCACTGACGAGCATTTTTGGATATCCTCACTAAGAGACGGGACGGTAGTACATTGCAGCGTACCGTTTACCGCAAGGCAAGCATGAGTGCGCTGTACCTTCACTTGTTCAGTTTCGCCTCAGTTGTATACAAACGCGGCCTAGTGAAAACGCTGCTCTACAGGGCCAGACGAATTTGTAATCCGAAAATGTTGGAAGCTGAAGAGAAGTTTCTGCATAGAACTTTGGTGTCGAATGGTTATGCTGAAAAGTGCATCCAAGTGCACAGCAGACTCCCCACAAAGAAACTGCCGGTGCTAACAGCAGAGAAAATAGCAGTTTATCTGTTTCTGCCCTTCAAGGGAGGTCATGTGGCAAATAACATCGGACGCAAGCTCAGGTCCGCCCTAACATGCACATTCACGAATGCCCAGTTGCGCCTCATGCACACTACTCAGAAACTTGTGCTTCATGACCTTCAGAGCTAATCTTCTGCTAGTTCGTCCTCTCATGAGTTTCATCAGTTCAGCTGCAGTTGCAGTGACGTTAGATGGGCAGAACTAACCGTCGCTTGACTCAGAGTGTGGCTGAACACTTCACAAAGTGGTGGAACAAATGATGGCGCAACCAACCGGAGTGCCCCCAGTATGAACCAGGTTCCGTCATGACAACTGGTCACAATGTGGACCAGAAGACTGTGTTCACAGTGCTATTACGCAACCGGAACCCGATAATGTTGGCAATTAGTGAAGCGTTGCTAACTAGGGCCTGTCAACTTGTGCTATGTGTGCAGAAACTCTTGAGGCAATCAATTAAATTGTCTTGGTCTTGATTTTGACGTTTTGACTGGTTCCAGTTTTTTCCCCATATATATTTGTGTATGTGTTTCTGCTTGTATTGTGTATTCGACTGATGAAAACAATCGAAATGTTGACAAATCGCAGTCTGTGTCGTCTTGCCGCTTTGATCAAGTGACTGAAGGGGACCTAATGTGTTACACTGACGAGCCCCAATTAGGCGTAACGATCGCCTAGCGCTTTTCCGGATTGGTGTTTAGGCTATTTGACTTGTGAGCTGCCGTAACGAACCAGTAAAAGATTTGTAGAAAAGAATACAACCATCTATAAAAACCAGTAAAAGCCATAGATCTATGCAGAGGTTCCAAGTTGTGTGGCCATAATTCAATCTGTGTTACAGGAACCCGAAGTGAAGACCAACCGTACTGCTCTCAAAATAGCTCCGTTCAACAAGCCAGTCGAATAGCCTAGTTTGGAGTGCAGCGTCGATGCTATTCCTTAGTGGGAAACTGTAGTGTAAGTTCCTGAGACAGGTGAAGATCAGTCTTAAGTAAGATGAAGTTACTTGACGTTCTTGTTCCATATACTTCTCGAGAGAACTGTATTCACTAGATTTCCATACCAGCTTGTAAAATCCATATTATCCAATACCCATTAATACACCTGCTCACATTGCGGTCAGTGCCGACAAGGACCTTCAGAGAATGTAGCGTCTGGAGAGCGGACAACCCAAAATGTCATAAGAAAAAGGTTCCCCGCCATACATGACAGCAGAAATCCCAGTGCGTCGAAATTCAAAGGCAATTGGCGAAGAAGCTACTTGACTGTCAATTGAAGGGATCGATTGTTTCGTTTCCTAATGAACCTAATGAAAATCGACACTGG